ACACGGGTCACAAATTTGCTCGTGACTGTGTGCCAATCTCAGGGGGGATGTTTAGGGGGATGTTCATGTGGATGTTTGTCCTTAGAATCATCCCGTGTATTCTAAACCACGAGGCAGACACGGGCCATCTCAAATTTAGGGTTCGGCGGGGTTCACACTCTTGTTGCGATGAATTGGCTTCGAGGTGTCAAGATGTGGGATGGGGCTTCAGAAGGTTGAGAGGAAGATACTCTTCCAGTGGAAGGTTCATCCCGCGGTCCAATTCTATCTGCAGCTGCTGCTACAGTTCGTCAGCGGGATCCCCAACGCGCAGCTAGGAACGGCGGGTTTGGAGGAGGTTCAACAACAGGGGCGATTACGTAAACTCTCCACCCTAAAGCACCAAACCCCCCACAGACGCCACAGTACCACCCCGGCAAGCCTGCGACTGTTTGAGTTGAAGCAAGAACTTACCAAGCATCAGAACTAGGAACCCGCAGCTCGGACCCCGAAAAGAGCAGTGAGGCCGTCAGTTGAGGCGTTGGGCTCCCTTCTATGACGGTACTTACGGCCTGTGTATGTATATATAGCAGTAGGCGGTAGGTTTATAGGACTTCCACGATATGCTGTTTCTGTAAGGGCGTGAGTGTTGGAAGTACGAGCAAGTACGAAGACTGAGGATAACCTCGCTACTAATACTAGAATACTTGTACGAACAAGAACAATCTCTTTCATCACAACAAATCACAAGAACAGCACTGACGAACAAGACGATAATGTGCACAAGCTTTCGGGCTGAAGGAGAAGGACTTTGGTAGAGCTGAGGTGCTGAGGAGGAGATCTGCCGGATCAGGATGCTCATCAGCCGGTGAGGGAGGTATCCTCACAAAACCCACAGATCAGAGCCGGGTGGCGTAAAACTGCGTCCATTATGCATCGTCACAGCCAGAGAGATCAGGAATCCATCTTCCCGAACCATCCGGAAGTCCACCAGACCCTCAACTCCATATCCCAGATCCTACGCCAGATGTGCATGCAGTGTGTCGAGGCTTCTTGGCTTGAAGGTTAGCACTTTTAGCATGGGTCGGAGTGTTCTAAGGGCTCAGACAGAGCACTTAACAAGGCCAAGGCACGCACATAGAGAAACACGGCAGCCCCGAATGCAACCAGCCAACCACACGTGATGCAGAGAGCGACGATCATGATCCTTTGCTTCGAAATTGCCGGCTTTCCAATTCAGAACAAACTCAGTCAGAGAATCATTACAGCGAAGCCAGATGCAGAATGTGAGCTTCCTTGGATTCAAGCTCCACGCTGTCACGTGTCCTTCGTAAGGAAAGTAGTCGTGGGAATAGCAGCAGCAGCAGCAGCAGCAGCAGCAGCGGCAGTAGTAGTAGTAGTAGTAGTAGTAGCAGCAGTATCAGTAGC